AGGTTCTACATAAGCCTGTGTGGGAGGGATACCTAGTCTCAATAGTCACAGCCAAGTTGGTTGCTGGGAAGCTAAACCTCTGGAGCATTCCTGGAGCTTTTCTAGCAACTCTGAGATAACTTGAACAGTTTTCCTTTGACTTCTGTGTATATATTGCTGATTGGAAGACCACAGATGGCAAATTACTGCTTGCAGAAGTCCAAAACAAGATGATACCTCAGCAGATTTTCTTAGAACAGAGCTCAATGACTCCTGGCACTCTCCTCTGGGTAGAGCAAACTCGGTTATTTGACTGCTCAGTTACCTGTACTGTTTTCCTTTCCAAGTGGCCCCACCCAGAAGTAGCAAGAGTAGCTTGATCTTGCTTCTGAGCTTAAACTTCTGCAATGGTTTGGTTCAAAACTGCAGGAGAAATACAGTGGTTTGGAAGGATTAGATCTCACTACTCTGTTGCTAAATAGAGGTCCAGTGTGAACCAGGGAGAGGTTTTGTGTGTGTGCACATGTCAGGTGTTTTGCCTGGAAGCTGCAGGGTTTCTAACCTGTTAATCCTGTGCTATTGTGTGAGGCATAGCCCTTCAAGGGCATTTCCTCTTTGCAGCAGTGCAGAACTTACTAAAGACAGCTGGATCTGAATAACAGCCAGGCACTAAATTTCTTGACCATAGTTTTCTTTGAACTTCACTGGGTTCAACAGAAAGGGATTTTAAAGAGAGGGGAATTTATTGAAAAACAGATTGACCCAAGTTGCCAGCTAAATCATCTTTATAATTGGACTGAATGGATGGAACTACACATTGTCTATACTTTTGAAGGACATTGGCTAGGTTTCATACTTATAAAATGTCCCACACAACCAACCCCAACTACCTGAAATTTGGAACTAAAACCTTTTCCCTACTCATGTTTCCTATTAGGATTTGAGTCACAGAATTATGGAATGTCAGAGAAGACAAGATCACTTGGGAAGTCCAACTCATAGCCCTCATTTTTAGAGATGAAAAGATGGAAGGCCAGAATAAAGAAGCAACCTACAGAAATACTGCAAGTAAAACAACCATGAAGGGACTGACAGCAGTATAAAGTGAAATGTGACAGTGTTTTAAAGTGTTACAAAGCAAGCAGTATGAGAATTTAGGGATGGAGAAATTATTACCTTCTGGGATCCCTATGGTAGGGAGTCAAGACAGACTCTCCTGGCACTGGACATGGGTAGAAATTCACTAGAAAGTTATATGGTGAAGGGGGCTTCAGTTAGAGAGAAGATCATAGGCAGTGATAGTAGGAAAGTATGCAATCTTCAGAGACTAGTCCAGTGTGGCTGAAGTATCGAACCGTCATAAGAAGCACAAAGGCCTTCTCATGTAATCTTGCAGCAAACATAAAATATGCAAAGTTTTCTCTATAATGTGATTAAGTGGCTTCAAAGTCTGTCAGTAGCAGAACCAGGACCTAAGACAGATCAAGTGTGTTTTTGTTTTTGTTTTTGTTTTTCAGTTTGCCCAGTACCTGTTAAGGGCTTTAGCATGATGTATTATAGTAAACCAATCAGAGGAGATACCATACTTGATCTTATGCAATGGGCTGAGAAGTGATTATTTATGCATTACAGAAGGATTCAAATGCTGAACTAAGAATTTTGGGCTTGATTTGATGAGCAATGAGTTGCTATTTAATTTTTATCATCTATTTTTATATTTATTAGTACATGTGTAGTCCATGTTTACATTCCTTATGGGAAGTTGGTGCATGTACATGACGCATCTTAATTCTCTTCTTCATCTCCTTTCTCTTCCCTTCCTCCCCCTCCACCCACCTCTTGATCCCTTTCCTTTTTTCTTTTTTGTATATGCTTGTAGTATAAAAATGTAAGAGCTGGGCTTTAGAAATTTAATCTGGTAGGCATGTAAGGATGAATTAGAGATCCTGGAACCTAAATCAAGATGGACACTTAGAAGAGCCAGAGCTTCAGGGAACAAAGTCCTAAGAAGCTACACTAATAATCTGAAGGTCAAATAAGTTAACTACCTTTTCCAAAGTAAGGTAGCTGATCAGTGGGGCAGTTGAGGTTCGTTCACTGCCTGTATTGTGGATTCAGGTTCTCTAATGAGCTGGAAGAGAAGCTAACATATATAGGACAAGATTGAGAGTGCTGCCATACCTTATCCCTTAAGGGCTGTTACACACTAATGTGCCCTTAGCCTTGCACTGGTCTAGGGATGCGATTGGGTAGTCTGTGTGTAAGAAGCTCAGTAGAGGGAGATAGAATGCAGTCAAGCTGAATGAAAATCATCAGTTTTCCCAAACATTTTACATCAGTGTAAGTTAGGGATGCTTTCAAAGGTACTTGTTGGTCCAAGGCAGTGGTGGCAAACCTATGGCATGTGTGCCACACTGGAATGTTTGAATCATTAAAAGTTCTGTAAAGTTCTGTAAGTATAATTTATCGAACTTTACATTTATGTTACTTGAGATCTATCTGTGTCATATCAATATCAGTTAAATTAGGGGCTAGTACTTATGGCTATTTTCTATACTTGTTTCTCCAAAAGGACTCAAATGCAAAGATTTTAAAACTTGGGATCATTTAAAAATCCTGATACTATTTTGGCCAAGTGTTTGCCCCATCTTGTTGTTTCACTGCTTGGATTCCTTGTCCTTTTGAAATCTTGACACTTCTTGTCACTTATGCTAGCACTTTTTTTTTTTTTTTTTTAATTTCCAGGCCACTTATCTTTAGAATAGCCTATTGGCTCTTCAAACTTTTCTACCTCTTATATGAGTCATTCTCTGAGCAATGCATGGCTTTTCATTTCCCAGTGATGTGCAGCACAATTCAAACTTGACACACTAACTGAAAAATGACGAGGGTCACTTATTTGTGCCTTATTTGTCTTCACAAAGTGTAATATGCGACTTTGGTTTCCTGGAAGTTCAATCTCCTGGGTGTGCTGTGTTTCCCCAAGGAGCCTGGCAGCACCTCCCTACCCCAGTCTGTTTTGTGTTTTCCTTATGTCTTTATGTTACTCCCCAGGGATCCTTATTAAGTATTCGGGACAGTATGTACCTCTCCACTCTAAATGGCTCTTTCCTGAGGGCTAAGCCTTAATCACATTCCAAACTCATCCATTTATTTTAGGTCAGACCTGCAGACTGAGTGAAACACCACGAACTTTTGAGTGTGGGAGTTGCAGTCCAGTTTTCCTTATTGCAGATACACAGGGAGCTTTTAAGATGCAATCAAACTTGTGTTTCAGAATTGTAAAGTCTAGCTTCCTGTACTCTTACTCATCTGTGATAGCTATGCTTCTGAGCAGTTCTCTAAGTACTTGACAATGAAGGTATTGAGAGCAAAAGTGACACCTGTCATCTCTTGGGTCCAATAGATGTGATATCAAAATTAAAAGTGAAAGTGAGAAGTATCAGCGCTCATAGGATTGTTTACCTATCTTTGTAAATGTGTCACAGGAGCAGGTGAGGAGAAACAGATGCTCCAATGATATCTCAGAACTACAAAGGTGCTCAGAAAGTGCTTGTCTGTCCATTCCCACATACTAGGTAGGAGTCTACATAAGTTTCCAAGGAGTTGGTTGGATAGTCAATTTAAAATATATATTTTTTTCAGCTTCATCTTCTCAACAGTGTCTGTCTGCTAGCTACCTAAAGCCATGCAGGTCTCCTGATTTGCTCACTGAGACAACCCAGCTCTTTTTACCTTGAAGATTGACTCACAGATGAGGCTTCTTCAGTCAGATTCCCACATGTGACTTCCCCTGGTGCTCCCACGTCCAGTTGGATACTTTTCTGTCTAGTCCATCTCAAATTGGAAAGATTTCCTGCTATCATCACTCCAGTTTTCAGCTTCTTGGCTGTTGGCCCAGTTCAGAAGAGAAGCTAATAATCATTCACTTTTGTCAATAAGCCACAGCCGACCTGTATTAACTAGCATGGCAGGGCAGGCCTCCCATTGTTCTCTATAGCCTGCTCTGCCTACGAAGCCACAGGAGCTGGCATGAGAGGCCCTGGGCTAGTACCAGGAGTCCTGAGTTCTGAACCTGCCTTCTTTTGGAAAAGAGCCCTAGTTGAACCCTAACCTGCCCCTAGTCCAACAGTATATATTCACCATAAACTTTGTGCCAGGCGTGGTTCCTGGCACTAGGCATTCAAAGCAAAGTGCTTACTCTCATGGAGGAAGGTTTGTGAGTGGAAGGGAGAGTGCTTGGGTCCAGTCCTCACAAACAATTTATTTTCCAAATGTTTGTCATCCCTTTGCTTTGAACATCCATCTGTGATGGGCTGCTCTTTCCATTACTTGTCTGTTCCTACTATTTTATTTTTTTCCCTACTCTCTATTTTAAAAGGACAAATATACATGTGTTTTTAACTGATATAGGCTATCTTCTTTCTGCCTTTCATTTAGTCTGACTCAAATCCCTCTGACTGCAAATTAATAGCTATTTTACCCATTTTTCTGGGAAACCTGAGATCAGCCTGACGGCTAATAGCATGTCCTTTGTGATCCATCTTTGTGAACAGAAATGTTCAAATATGTGTCTCTGACATGCTAGGCTCCGTGCAAGAGAAGAAAAGATCCTTGTTCTTCACAAAATGACAGCTTCTACAGTGTCACAGCATGGGCATGTTAGAGACACTAAGGAGAAATCATGTACCTGAAAGTGAATATGTATGTAAGGGAGTGATGTCGGGGACTGCACTCAGTGGGAACTCGGGAGACTGATCTGCTATCTACATTTCCCTTCTTGTGGGTGATAAAGCAGGTACCATTTGTAAGCCCTGCTTAGAATTGCTTTCTTCCTCCCACATTCAGAGTTTGTGCCAGCCAATGAAAGAGGGCAGACTATGTTCACACTGTTGTCCACATTTATCCCCCCAAACAGGAGAGGTGCTTCTAATCAGATTCAACTCCTTGTCAGACAGAGTCTCTAAAAGGTAACAGATCTTTCCATGGCCAGTGACTGACCAGAGACTTTTCCCTTCCAGAGATGAGAAGAACCAATCCATTATAGTCAGCGGGGAGTCTGGAGCTGGGAAGACGGTGTCAGCCAAGTATGCCATGCGCTATTTCGCCACAGTCGGTGGCTCAGCCAGTGAGACCAACATTGAAGAGAAGGTCCTGGCATCCAGTCCCATCATGGAGGTAAAACCTTCCTGGCTGGAGTTCCTTCTACTGGTAGTCAGCCTTCTAAGTGTCATGTTTGGTATGGCTGTTCATGGAATCCTTAAAACAGCTCACATAGGCAGCATTCACACCTTTCCCTGGCAGCCCTTGCCTGTGAAACTTCCAATGTGAGGGGGTATTCTGACCTGCTTGTGTTCTTTAGGTCCCTAGTATTGGGTGGAGGGTCCTCACATTTTCTGTGTCCCTGGATTCTACCTGTGGCAATGATGGTCCTTCCCTACCTGCTGCCATTTCTGTTGATGTTTCCCTGCCTGCTGTTATCATGTGTCAATAAGTCAGTAGTTCGGTCAAAATCACCAGATAACTTGAGGGTCTACTAAATCAAGAGGGTGCTTCTTGTGAGGATGAGGGGAAATCCCCCCCCAAAGTATTTGAAAGTTATCTTTGGGAGGTAGAGCCAAATGTATTTTGATAACAGAAATCAGTCAAAGGTCCTCATATAATAGTTGCCTGTGGTGTCATGAACTGGCTGGTACAGTCCTCCTCTGTCTTTGCTCTTGTCTGATTCAGTCAGGGATTCAGGAGAGGGCCCTGGAATGGGTAGAGAGAGAGAGGGATCGATGTAAGTGTAGACATAGAGATGTATCCTAAAGGTTGGATCTTGCTATATATAACCATGTTTTAGGTTCAGGAAGTTTTTTTTTTCTCTCTTTCCTATATAAAAACATAAATCTGGCAGAGTGGAACTAAATGTCCTCACAGCTCCTGGGCCACCTTTGAAGCCAAATCTCTTCATTATTGCCTTTGTTACAGTCTGGTTAGGGATGGGCCCTTTTCCTAGCCCTGGGCAGCCCTTTTGTTTTATCCAGAAAAAAAAAATCCATTTGAGACCTGAAGCTGCCAGGATCACATCTGATTTACCTGAGTTCTTAGCCCCATCAACTCACTGTGCTGATTGGTCTTTCAAGTTATTGTAGAGGAAGAAGTTACCTAGACTGTCCCCAGCTCCCTCTCTCCCTCTTCCCTTACCAAGTGCAGGAGTAAATTCTGTGTCTCAATTCACAGGAGTTTATTGGTTATTCAGGCAGAATCTATTTTCAGAGTTATATTATCTGAAAAGCTCGTCTCTGATGAGTAGTAGGATACTAGCTATTCTCTAATAATTCAACAAAAGCAATTTTTAGTATTGTATGATTTGGGAAATGCCCAATATAGTTGAGGGCATTTTTATCAAACATAAAAAGGAAAATTCAAGTTTATTTCAGTGGTTCTCAAATAAACAGGATATATAAGAATTGCCTAAAGGCTTGTTAAAGCTTAGCTTCTGGATCCGCTATCTAGAGTTTGAGTCACAAGCTCTGGGAAAGGGCCCAATAATTTACCTGTCTATTAAGTTTCTAGGTGAAACAGATGCTGCTAGTCTGAATACTTTCTTGCAGAATGATTGAACTATTAAAAAGATATATGAGGTGATCACTGAAAAATATAAGGAAAGGAAAGGATTCCCTGTACAGTGGGCCCTTGACTTATGGACTTGATTAATTCCAAAGGGTTAGTTGTAACTCAAGTTGGTTGTAGGTTAATATAGCTGAGATCTGGATGTTTACCTGGGTACATGCTAGTGATAACAAGAGGCAGATGAATCTTCCATTAACCTAATTAACCCAAGATGTTTGTATGTCTGGGTGGTCAGAACTTGAGGGTCCACAGTAACACTATTGCAGCAGTGGCAAACTTATGGCACATGTGCCACAGTGAGCTGTTTATATCATTGAAAGCTCTAAAAGGTTCACCATCACTGCAGAACCTATTGATACTTGTTCAACATTTTGGTATATTTCCTTCCTGCTTTTTCACTGAATATTATAGCAAATACCTTGTCCCCATACCCTTAAACTTTTTATGAACTGTCTTATTGGCTACAAACACGAGTGAATAAATGGCTGTCCTGTAATTTAACTCTTTATAGTCCAACTTTAGTTGGTAGCCTGATTACTCAGTGTTTATTGTAAGCCCCAAGGTTGGGCCTAGGCCATGGCTCCAATTCAGAAGACATTTGTGGACCATGGCTTTAGCTGTCATAGGATCATCTGTGTACCTGTACTAAGGAAGCTGATACAGTACTCTGCAGTTAACACTGTGTTTTATCTCAAGTGAGAATGAAAGCAGGCTTTCTTCTTTCCCTTGAATTTCAAAATTCTGTTAATCTTTTAAGCAGTGAGATTTCAGAGACCTACGGTGCTTCTTTTAGAAACAGAGTAAGTATTATTCTGGACAAAAGAGAATAGAAGAGACCCTTGATGTCTGGTGATTGAATGAAGAAATTGTTAGTGATACTGAGAATTCAGTGAAGGCAGAGCCCCATATTACTAAATAAGAAACAAAGGGAATGTTTTAAAAACATTTTTTATTAGAGTAAAATACACATACAAGAAATTTACCATTCTGTGTTCGATCAAGTGGCATTAAATACCTTCACAATGTTTGTACAGCTATTGCCACCATCTATTAAATCAAGCCAAACAAACTCTGTCCCCATTTAACAGTATCTCCATTTTCATTTCTCTCATTCCCAGTAACCTGTTTTCAACTTCCTGTCTTTAAATTTAACTTATCTAGGGTCCTCATAAAAATGGAATCATATGAGCCTCTTTGTGTCTGGCTTATTTAACATAGCCTCATGTTTCAAGGTTCATCCATGTTTCACCGTGTATCAGTATTCTGTTCTTTTTCGTGGCTGCATAACATTTCATTGCATGCACATATCCTTTCCTCTCTTGGTGGACATTTGTGTTGTTTCCATCTTTTGGGTATCACATATAGTGCTACATTGGACACTGGCATGCAGATTTTTGCTTGAGTCCCTGCTTTGAGAATACTTTTAAAATTACAGGTGTTAAAAATTATTTAATGGGGGAGCCAGGCGTGGTGGCGCATGCCTGTAATCCTAGCACTTGGGAGGCTGAGGCAGGAGGATCACTGTGAGTTCGAGACCAGCCTGGGCTACATAGTGAATTCCAGGTCTGTCTCAACTAACATAGTGAGACCCTGTCTCAAAAAAACAAAAAAAAAATTATTTAATGTTTTTAATATCCATTATGGCCTGCATAGGGTGGTAGCCCCTCTGCCCTGGAAGCACTGGGCTTTGGCATAAGAGAAATGTGAGAGCAACATGGATATCCCAAAACACACATAGTTATATACAAACCAGCCTGATTTACATGATTATGTAAACAAATGCATTAGTTATCTGCCTTGTATAGATTGGTACTTTGGGAACGATGGATAAGTCTAAGGGCTCATTCTGTGAAATGTAGAATTTTGCCATTGTAGGGTCTGTTCCTTGAACTGTCAAGTATTATCTCTGAGAGAAGGCTTGGATGTGAACATAGAAAGATGTGAGACTTTTGCACTGCCAAAGTCTGAAAACGACTTTTCACAGTTTTGAGTCTAGCTGGGCTCTTGTATCAGGAAGCCCAATCAGCTTGTGGCTCCTCAGAGGGTTGTAACCAACAGAGGAGTGTCTTAATCAGGGACAGCTGATTACTTATTATTGTGCCTATGTAAGGGTCAGGGTGACACCTCCCCATGAAGTAAGCACTTAAGTCTGTGTCATCATCTCCTTGCTTCCGAAGCAGCCTAGCAACTGCAGAACCCTCCTGGGGAGAACAAGAGCTGAGGTGGTCTTAGGAAGCAGAATTCCCAGCGGGCTGCACTAAGTGGCAGCTGTTGGAATTAAGGCAACTCGAGGATGGACTGGGATTGGCTGGGGCAGATTAGAATGATTTATTGTTGGTACCACCACTGTCTGACCCCATCCTGTTTAAGAGCTTGTCAACATACCAGGAGTGATTTGTTCACACATTTGCACTGATTAAAAGGACATTGCTAATCAAAAGACTGTGGGAGAGGGGACAGATCCCAAGTCCGGACCAGAAGGTCACATGACTTCTTGGAGTGATAGAAGTCTGCAGGCTTCCAGAACCACAAATACTTCCCCTGCTGGAAGGAAAGGGGGCAGGAGTACAGTAAGATGAAAATGATAGAAACCAAGAGCAGAGATAATTTTCAGGGTTTTTGTTTGCTTTCTCAAAAAGCTGGCTGCTGTTAACTTATGCGTATAATAATCCAACCCTTACATATCTTCCCCATTTAATCTCTTGTGATCTCCCGTGTACCAGCACATGATAATCCCTGCCTGTCACTTTGTCCATGTTATATTCATAAATAAAATCCTTATTCCTTTCTTGCTGTATAATTACTCACTTTGATTCACTTCAATTTTCACATCTTTCCTAGTCTGTGGAGTGTGACTAATTGCTCCCTTTTCTGTGTTTTCATACTGGTTGATGTGTACCTCTTTACTGTACAGTCTGATTACACTGAAGTTACTCTGGTCCGTTTTTGTTTTACCATGTATTTCTCTTTGCATAAGCCACAAAAAAAAGGTGTGTTGCTATGCTGTATATATCAGTATTGTATTTCATCAACCATTTTTGCAGCTGCTTTTCATTAACATTTTTTATTTAACCATGAGCTATGCTGTACTTTAGTTTTAACAACTGTATATCCCACTGTATAGACTGCATTTTATTTATCCACTCCCCCTACTAGTGGCCAGTTGGGTTTTATTTTTTTTCTTAAATATGGTCTGGATTGAGCATTCTTGTGCATGCTCAGTTACATTTATGTGAGGATTTGTGTAGGTAAGATCTAGAAGTAAAACTGGTGAATTGCTAGATGCATACATGCTCAGTTTTAGTAGATATGCCCAGTTGCTCCTAAGAGTGATTTTTTTTTAGTACTTTTAGACCCATCATATCACTTGGCAAAGCAACCTCATGAGGTGAGGGGTTAGATCTTTTGGTAGTGATGTATATAACTTGGGCAAGGTTTTCCCAAGGAATGACTCAGAATGTGAAGAGTCTTGCTGCAATTTGACAAATTACAACATTTGAAATTTTTTGAAATTTCAAATTAAAATTTTGAAATTGAAAATTAATTGTTGAAGCTAGATTGTCCTTGCAAATTTTCACAAATTGAGCTTTGTTGGTTGTATCCTCATGGTGATATTCAACATGTTCCTTTGCTTCTGTGTGTTCTGTAAAAGGATAGTAAATTTTACAGGTTTGTTGAGTTGTTTTTTTTTAATAACAAAAATCCTTATATGTGCTTCTGTGGGCTTGCATCAGGAGGTACAGAATTATCTGGTTGTCTTCTGTAATGTTGGCAGCTGTTGGTTTTGCCTGTATCTATTAACTAACAGAGGTTACAAGGTAGTGATGTTCTCTTATTCTATTTTCCCCCCTCTACTTATTAGCTGGAGTCGATCTAATAAGGAAGCTTTCCCTCACCAGCCATTTAGTTACTCTGAGATACAGTTTACCCAGCAAAGTTAAGGCAGACATTGGATTCTTACTAGTTTCAAAATGAGTTGGTTCCCCCAATGTCTTCTGAGAGCCCCTACCCCCATAAAAAAAGGTAAAAGCAAGGAATGGTATTTCTGTCTTTACCTTTGATTCAACTTGGCCATTTGAGCAGTGAGAAATTGCCCAAGAGTGTTTCCTGTGGGGTGTGAGTGTGGAGAGCTGAGAGACATAGTGTGGAGGATGGTGATCCCATGTAAAATGAATGCAGACTTTGGACCCAAGCCTTTCTGAAATTATATCTTGTCTTGGCTACTCCCCAGCCCTGTGACCCTGGGCATATTACTTGAGCCTAAATTTTCACATAAATATGATGAAAGATTCACAGTGGAATCTTACTGGTATTAAATGAGATAAGGGGTCCCCATTTGGAGCCTAACCCTAGTTGGAGGCGATAAGTTTTACCAACATTTTAGGAAATACAGGTTTACTTTTCATCTCCTGAACAGAATTGGCTTTATTGAAGTGTGACAGTCTCCCTTGTCCTGTGAGCTTTGAGGGGTCAAACCTATGTCTCTGGAGAAGCGGTACACTGAGGGCTCTGCTGAACCACTGAGGAAATGCTTCCCTGTCTCCTTTTGTTGGAGGCACATTATGATATAAATTCTTCTGATGAGGTGCATCTTGGAGAATCATGTCAGCTTGGCTGAGCTCTAGCCTGTCCCTGGCCTGTGCATGTTCTGAGTGCTAAGATGCACCTCAGAGCCATTCGATGCACAAAGGTTGTAGTACTTACCCCACTTCCAGCAGAGAAGCACACTGCATCTTTGGTCCTTTATGCACACCAGGTTGCTTTATACACTTCAACCCTAAAGTAAAAAATACATTGCAACTGTAGTTGAAGGTTGTAAGAGCATCGAGTAGCAAGTGACATGAGGACAAGGCGTAGAAAATTCAGTGGTGGGAAACTGAAACCCAAATTCATTTGTGCTTCCATTCACTCAGGGTGTTTGAATGCCTACCACTTTCTGGGCACTGGAAAAGGTATAGAGAACCTTGAGCTCATAGACAGGCATGGCCCAGGTGCATGTCACGGAAGGGAAGAAGAGGGGAAATGCAGGGCTCAGAATGTGCATGGCAGGAGGTGGTCTCCCTCAGGAGAACCCTCCTGCCTGAAAGTTGAGACTTGCAGGAAGAAGAGCCAGCTGGGTGTAGGGTGCAGTAGGAAGAAAGTGTCTCCGGTACAGGGAGAACATGTAGAGCTTTTAAGGAATAAGGTCTGTAGGATTACTAGAAACTGAGGTCTACTCAGGACAAAAGGGATGAGAAACAAGACCAGGCTGAGTCCTGCCAGGTCCAGAAGCTGTTCGGAGAACTGAAAACTAGTTCAGAGGGTAATGGGATTCAATGAAGCATTTTACACAGAAATGTAACTAAGAATTGCAGTCGAGTGGAGAACTGACAGCAAGAAACAAGAGCAGGAGCAAAGAGGCTTATGGAGTAACTGTTGAAAGAGACAATAGTGACATGGGCTAAGGCTATGGCAGAGGGACAGAAAAAACTGGAAAGGAATGCGACTATCTGAGGTGTTATATCTGATATAGTTGGAGGGTAGTGGGTGCATAGGTAGAACAGAGCATGCCGGTCCTGGGCTACACCACTCCCCTAGTGCAGAGCCAGGCTTGGAGCCTTGTGAGTGGCCAGTCATGGGACCTGAGGCCTCACGGTACTCACCTTGAAAGTAGGAGCGATGAGTGTACCTTGGGGAGACTTAGCGGGCCATCTTTGCCAGTGTTAGAGGTCAGCATTTTGATCTTTGAAGCAGTGTGATGTGCTTTCAGCTGTTTTGCTCACCTGGTTAATAAAAGGTGCCAGTTGGCCTTGTGGGGCTTGGAGATATTTGCCCTTGGGTTACTTGTACTCAGCTGGGCAGGAGTGGAAGTGGGTTGGGATTTGTTTTCCTCAGCTTCTTTGTGTCTCATATTTCCTAGGCTACTGAAAAGTTAGTGAGTTTTTTTCCAAGTGTTTTAACCACCTAAAAATGAACGTATGTGAAAAGGATTAAACTAGTAGTACATTTATTACCAGTGAATTAGTAGAATGATGTTTTATAGTCATAGTAAATAGTAATACAATGAGACCACTTAGCCACTCATTTTTAAATTACTGTCTAGTGTTTTGAAGTGTGTCCCTCCCTGCTACTGCATAAGTAACACAAGATGATATCCTGACTTGTCCCAATAATGAAATATTTTGTGGGGAGGGTGTCAATTGGTGGTCTGTTTCTAGGAAGTACTGTTTATCATTTGCCTGTCCAGTTGAAGTCTGATGAAATGAATTAAGCACAAGAAGACTGGTTTATTATTATTAGTTCAGACCTAATGGGCACTACCATTGATTTAGTGGCTCAAGGATGTCAGAGCTGAGGTTTCTATGATTCTCTAGGCCTTTTCCCGCATGGTTTCAAAATAGCTGCTGTAGCCAAAGCTATCACATGTGTATCCTAGGTGGAGGAGGAAGAATGGGGATATAACAAAATATATCTCCCAGCTGGTTAGTCTTTAAAGAGCCCATTAATCAACTCATTACTCTCACTAGCCATCCTTACTAGTAAAAAGATGCTGAATACTGAAATTTGGTTTGGATTTCAATAAGCTAAAGAATCTTTGCATCAGCCCACTGTCATCACGATAGCAGAGAGGTTCAGAAAATGAGGAGGGAGACGGAGATATGTGCTGCTGAAAATCTATAGACCTGAAACTGAGAAAGCCCTAGCCATTTTACTAACCTTCCCATCATTCTTGGCTTTGTCCAGGCCATTGGGAATGCCAAGACCACTCGCAATGACAACAGCAGTCGCTTCGGGAAGTACATTCAGATCGGTTTCGACAAAAGGTACCACATCATTGGGGCCAACATGCGGACCTACCTGCTGGAGAAGTCGAGAGTGGTCTTCCAGGTGAGTGGGAGGATGTGGGTCCTCTGTGTTTCATTATCTGGATGAGGTCTCCCTTGTTTCTCCCTGCCCCGCTCCCTGTACCCCAAGAGTAGCTCTCCTTTTGACCCTGGGACTGAAGGTACTGATTCTTTTGCTTGTTTTTTTCTTTCATTGTGAGTATTTATTCAAATGGAATTAGTCCTCAAGAACCTTTGTGCACTTTGCTTTGATTCAGCCAAAAAGAGCATATAGTACTGAGGCCTATTGTGTGTTAGCCCTGTGTTAGAGCCCAGAGATACAGTAAAGATCAGCAGTCCTTCAAGCAGAAGCATAGTCTGTGCAGGCAGCTGTCATGGGAGCCTATTATTTGGTAGGTTAAATTATATATAAATGTGTTGGGCTGGGGATTTAGCTCAGTGGCACCACACCTGCCTCAAAAGCACAAGGTCCTGAGTACAATAACCGGTACCAGAAAAAAAAAAAAAAGTGTATATGTGCAAATAGACACATCCACGTGCGTGCTTACTTTTCTTCCCCAACTTGGTTGTGGTATTCTGCTTAACTTTCATTTCTTCCTGCCTGTGATTCACCTTGTTTCTTGGTGACAGCTCCATGCTCATGCTTAGCAAATGTCTACTGAGTGCTCTAATCCCCTCTCCCTGTTTACCCAGATTTGCTGTGCACCTCATGGGCTGGTTTGGCCACTCCACATCCTTTATGTTAGTGCAGTAGAGGGAGCAGCCTGCTATGTTGGGTATGGGTCTGATATGCTTCCATCCCAGAAACCCTTTCTTGAAGTTTCCTCTTCATTTGCTGTCTTTGCCCAGACTTTGCAAATCTTTACCACCAACCATTACCAGTCAGCCAGCCTGACCACAGGTGTCCACTAAAAGTCGTCTCTTAGTGTGGACCTTTCCTGACTGCCCAGCCTGACCTGATGAGTAGGTTCAGCTGTCACCATCAAGCTACTAGAGGAGAAAGGGCACGTCAAACAGCATGGGTGAATAAGTATTTGCTGATCGATTGACGCACCATTTGTGGGCTAATGTTCTCTACAGAAGGAAAAAAGGACACAGTGTTTTTGTATAAGTGAAGAGATAAATACCCTCTGGGTAGACAAAGACTGTGTAATAGAGGCAGACAATCAGGCAGTGGGAATTGAAGTTACAGGGGTGTGGAAGAAAATGGGAAAAGGTGAATTTGGCTCCTACCATCTGGACACCTGGGGTCAGAGTGGTTAAGATGATGATCTTGGAGATAACTGTCCTAACATCTGCTGTTCACCATTTCCTCCTGCAGGCAGATGGTGAGAGGAATTACCATATCTTTTACCAGCTCTGTGCTGCCGCCAGCCTCCCAGAATTCAAAGAGCTTGCCCTGAGTAAGTCAGCAGGGGACTACCTGTCTTCTAGGATAGCTGCTATGACAGTGAGTGGTACAGCTGGGGGCTCTGCAAGGAACAAGGGGGCTCTGCCAAGTGCCCTCCAGTATGAGTTCTTAGCTCTGTGTCTAATGTGACCATGACTGAACCTCACTGCCCAATTATTAAAATATGGTTAATTGTATCTAGGCCACCTGCCGCAGAAAGTGTGGGAAGGAGAAAGAAGGGAAAGAAAAATGGAATTACTTTTTTCATAAGATGTGAGTTTCTACCTTGTGGATCTAGAGATTTAGATAATGCATATCACTTGTGGCCAACATGTTTAAGTCACCTTGTAGGATTGAGGCAAAAAGGAAGGATAAGGACAAAGCCAGGGTGATACTGTAATGACTATTTCACTGAGTTATGGGCAGTGTCATTGCAGAAGATAATATAGGGCTCAGGTCAGTGAGACTCAGCTCTGCCTGTCTATCTGATCTCTCCTGAACAGGTGTGAAAGCTTCTAGTACAATGAGATGGAGCAACCAAAGGTGTGAGATGAGTCACTTCATCCCCCTCAGATGGCTGGGCCCATCCTTTGTTTCCAGTAATTAGCACATTGGAGAAGTTCCATTGCTCTGAGGCTTTTGATCTGGAACCACTAGAATAGTGAACAGGCTTTAGCCCTTCTCCTCCCCCTTTTGAACTTTGAGGCAGGTTTTTGCTGAGTTGCCCAGGCTGGTCTCAAACTTGCCACCCTCCTGCCTCTTTTAGTTCTTGGTTCTGTACCACATAGCACCTCTGCTGGGGTCTGTGTGGTTCTGTATTGTGTAGCACTGACATTCCTACTGTTGAGTTCATGTAGCTCACGTGTGTGATGAGGCCCAGTCAGGGACCAAGTGACATCTTATCACTGGCCTGGTGTCTATATCTTGGAGTATGTGGGAAGAGGCAAAGCTGGAGGGTGGTGTAAAGAGCTTGGGGTCTAGGCAGAGAGATTAGTTGGTCTTTGTAGCTCTGTATGTGTGTGTGTGTGTGTGTGTGTGTCTCTCTCTGTCTGTCTGTCTGTCTGTCTGTCTGTCAAGGCTTTGCCAACCCTGATCCAGATCTAGCCATCCTAAGGAGCCAGGACCAGACCCAGCTCTGCCTCCAATAGCTACTTTCGTTAAGTGGTCCAGCAATGATTTACCCTTCAACTCTGCTTACTTTCTATAAACTCTTGCATTACTTGATGCATGTACCATGCAATTTAGCATGTGTTTGTTCATTCATCACACTCTTCTCAAGCCAGACACTGGAGACACTGGAGATGCAGTATTGACTAGAACAGCTAAGGCTCCTGCATTGGCTTAGTTTGTGAGTTACAATACAGAAGGATAGGCTGTGCTGCAGGAATCGTAGCTCAGGCAGTCCAGAGAGTCCCCTGGGACACATTGTTTGAATTGGGGTCCAGAAATGAAGTTCTAGATGACATCTGCAGTACTGTTTCTTCCTGATCTCTAGTTGCTAACAAGACTGATTCTTCTGTAACTTCAAAGACCAGGAATGCATGTTACCTACTATGTAGAGCAGGTGCTGAGCAGACCTTGTTTAGCAATGCCCTGACCTGGCACCCTGTGGCTCTGACATCAGCTCTCAGTCACAAGTAGGTAGGCAGTCACGACGCAGACATTGCCATCTTCCTCCTCCTTTCCCAGAGTAGGCCCGGCCTGGCAGGCCTTTTCAGGACCAACCTGCAGGACTGAGATTTTTCCCCCCTAAGGTCATTTTTTTTTTAATTGAGTGTATTGGTACAATCTAGGTCTACCATACAGTTACATTCATTACTGGGATCCTGTACCTTCACATGACAGGTCTTGGTTCTCATTTTTCCCCCTTGTTCCTGCCCTCCCTTCACCCCCTCCTCCCCTCTCCATTTACACACACTTTATTTCCACCTTTACATTTTCTCACATTTTTTTCTTTTCCCTTATTACACTTCCCCTACCCATCCCACCTTCCCTACACCTTTAGCCCTTTTCTTCCCATTTCACAATGTCAGTTATCTCATTAGGATCTTATGCACTATTACAGTTTATTCACACCAGAGAAACTATTCGTATTTACACATGTGTGACTTATTTATTTCACTTTGGAGTATATCCTCAATATGTATCCATTTTCCTATGAATGCATCTAATTTCTCATTCTTTATGCCTGAGTAGTATTCCATTTTATAGAAAAACCACATCTTCTTTAGGCAGTTTCCAACACATGGGTAGATGGGCTGTTTCCAAGTTTTAGCTATTACAAACTGTGCCGCTATAAACATTGGTATACATATATCACTGCGGTATGATTCTTTTTAATCTTTTGGAAAGATACCCAGCAGAGGGATGGCTGGGTCAAATGGAACCTCTAGACCTAGCACTTTGAGGTATCTCCATATTGATTTCCATAGGGGTTGCACCAGTCTGCACTCCCACCAACAATGGATAAGGGTTCCTTTCTCCCCACAATCCTGCCACATTTGTTATTGGTTGATTTCTTGATAGCAGCCATTCTTTGTGGGGTGAGGTGGAATCTCAGTGCTGTTTTCATCTGCATCCCTCAAATGACCAGTCATGTGGAACATTTTTTCATATATTTACTTGCTGCTTTTACTTCTTTGTCTGAGAAATGTCCATTCATTTCAGATGCCCATTTTTGAATCGGGTCTTTATATTTGGGGGGGGGCTGGTTGTTTTGAGTTCTTTATATATTCTAGATAATAGTCCTTTGTCTGAGGAGCAGCTGGTAAAACTTTTTTCCCACATTGTAGGTTGTCTCTTAGTTCTGTTGATGGTTTCTTTTGCAGTGCAGAAGCTTTTTAATAAGATGGGATCCCAGTTGTTGATTCTTTCTGGTAGTTCCCATGCTACTGAGGATTTGTTCATAAAGTCTTTTCCTATGCCAGTGTCTTCAAGCATTCTGCCTAATTTATCTTTGAGAAAATTTAATGTTTCTGTTTTAATATTTAGATCTTTAATCCACTTTGATTTTAATTTAGTGCATGGTGAAAGAAAAGGGTCTAATTTTAATCTTTGGCAGGTTGAGATCCAGTTTTTCCAACACCATTTATTAAAGAGGCTATCTTTCCTCCACGGAGGATGGTCACCTCGTTTGTCAAAGATGAGGTAGCTGAGTACATCTGGATTTGCCTCTGTACCAGTCTTTTCCACTGATCCTCAGGTCTGTTTCTTTGCCAGTACCATGCTGTTTTTATCACAGTGGCTTTGTAGTATAGTTTCAGATTGGGAATTGTTATGCCCACTGCCATGTGTCTGTTGCCTAGGATGGCTTTTTCTATTCTAGGTCTCTTATGGTTCCAAATGAATTTTTGGATTTTCTTTCTAGTTCTGTGAAGTATAGTGCTGCAATTTCAACTGGGATTGCATTGAATCTGTATAGCAGTTTTGGTAGTATGGCCATTTTCACTATGTTGATTCTTCCTACCCAGAAGCAGGGGATATCTTTCCATTTTCTTATATCCTGTTCGATCTCTTTTTTCAGAGTGCTGTAGTTTTCAGTGTAGAAGTCTTTTGCTTCTTTTGTTAGACTGATTCCCAGATACTTCATTTTTTGGGGGGTGCTATTGCGAAAGGAATTGTTTCCCTAATTTCTGTCTCACTGAGTCCATTATTTGTGTACAAGAAGGTTGTTGATTTTTGGGTGTTGACCTTGTATCCAGCTACTCTGCTAAAAGTGTCAATTAAGTCTAGAAGTCTTTCGGTGGAGTTTTTTTTTGTGGGGGTCTTCAATGTAGAGTATCATATCGTCAGTAAATAATGACAGTTTAACTTCTTCCTTTCCTATCTTTATTGCTTTAATTTCTTTCTCTTGTCTAATTGCTATGGCTAATGTTTCCAGAACTATAATGAAGAGGAGTGGTGATAGTGGGCATCCTTGTCTTGTTCCTGATTTTAATGTGAAGGTTTTCAGTTTTTGGCCATTTAATATGATGTTGGCTGTTGGTTTTTCATAGATAGCCTTTATTAAGTTGAGGTATAGACCATCTATTCCAATTTTTTGCAGAGTTTTTATCGTGAATGGGTGTTGAATTTTGTCAAATGCTTTTTCTGCATATATCGAGAGGATCATGTGGTTCTTGTCCTTGATTTTGTTAATATAGTGTATTACATTATTGATTTATGTATGTTGAACCATCCTTACATTCCTGCAATAAATCCGACTTGGTCAGGATGTATGATCTTCTTGATGATCCTCTGTATTCTGTTTGCTAGTATCTTATTAAGGATTTTTGCATCTATATTCATTAAGGAGATTGGCCTGTAGTTCTCTTTTTTAGTTACGTCTTTCCCTGGTTTGGGAATCAAAGTGATACTTGCTTCCAGGAATGAATTTGGAAGTATTGCTTCCCTTTTGATATCATTGAAGAATCTGAAGAGTAATGGCAGTAGTTCTTCTCTAAATGTCTTGTAAAATTCAGCAGTGAATCCATCAGGACCTGGGCTTTTCTTTGTTGGTAAGTTTTTAATTACATTTTCAATTTCACTGATTTTAATTGGGGTGTTTAAAATGTATTTATCTTCGTTCAACTTTGGCAATTCATAAGTATCTAGAAATCTGTCCGTTTCTTCTGTGTTTTCCATTTTATTAGAGTACAGTTTCTCATAGTAGGTATTAATGATCCTCTGGATTTCTGTGGGATCTGTTGTGACTTCACCTTTTTCATTCCTGATTGCATGAATCTGAGCCTTTTCTTTCCTTTTTTTGATAAGGTTTGCTAAGGGTTTATCAATTTTATTTATTCTTTCAAAAAACCAAATCTTTGATTCATTTATTTTTTGATTGTTTTCTTAGTTTCCATTTCATTGATTTCTGCTCAAATCTTTATAATTTCCTCTCGTTCGAGCTTTGGATTTTTCTTACTCTTGTTTTTCTAGGAGTCTAAGAGTCATCATTAGGTTGTTTATTTGAGCTTGCTCTGTTTTCCTAATGTGGGCATTCAGTGCTATGAATTTTCCATGTAGAATAGCTTTTATTGTGTCCCATAGATTCCTGTATGTTGTATTGGCATTTTCGTTTATTTGTAAAAACTGTCTGATTTCTTCTTTAATTTCCTCTGTGATCCATTGATTGTTCAGGAGAGTGTTGTTCAATTTCCATGTGTTTGTGAAGTTCCTACAGTTTCTTATGCTATTGATCTCCAGCTTTATTGCACTGTGACCTGATAGTATATAGGGAATAATTTCAATTATTTTCCAATTATTCAAACCTGTTTTGTGAGCTAGTATGTGATCTATCTTGGAGAATGACTCATGTGCAGCTGAAAAGAATGTATATTCCGATTTTGTGGGGTGGAACACTCTATAGATGTCTAATAAGTCCATGCTTTCAAAAGCTTGGTTTAGTTCTAGTATTTCATTGTTGATTTTCTGCCTAGATGATCTGTCTATTTGTGATAGTGGGGTATTTAGATCCCCCACTACAATTTTAGTAGTGGTTATTTGGTTTTTCATGTTACTAAATATTTGTTGGGGGCATTTATATTTGGTGCATATATGTTTATGATTGTCATTTCTTCCTCTTGGATTGTTCCCTTTACAAGGATGTAGTGGCCTTCTTTGTCTCTCTTAATCAGTTTGGGTTTGAAATTTACTTTGTCTGTGAATAAGATTGCTACCCCTGCTTTTTTCTGGGCTCCTGTCACATGGAGGATTATTTTCCATCCTTTCAGTCTATGGGCTTCCTTTTGCACTAGGTGTGTTTCTTGTATGCAACATATTGTTCTATTTTGCATCTTAATCCATTGTGCCAGTCTATTTCTCTTGATTGGTGAATTGAGGTCATTGACATTGATGGTTATAACTGATATGTACTGACTTATTATTGTCATGTTGTTGTCCTTTTGTTGATTCTTTTTAATTTTTTGTCCTCTCCTTTTAGTTTCTTGCCTTGGCTATTTGAATTGCTCTGTTGGGCCTCATGGTGTTGTGATCTTCATTGTCTTTTTCTAGGATATTGTTTAAAATTCCTTGTAGTGCTGGTTTAGTATTCATGAAATTTCTCGAGTGTTCTTTGTCATGGAAGTATCTTATTTCTCCATCCATTTTAAAAGAGAGTTTTGCAGGATACATCAGTCTAGGTTGGAGGTTGTTTTCTTTTTCCTCACTCCAGGCTCTCCTTGACCTAAGGGTTTATGTCGAAAAGTCTGCTGTGATTCTGATGGGCTTTCCTTTCCATGTGATTTGTTTCTTTTCTCTTACTGCTTGTAGTATTTTGTTCTTCTGTTGGGTTTCTGGGATCTTGATTATCCCTAAGGTCAATTTTATAAAGAATGAACAGGGTACCAGTGAGATCCACCTGGTTGATTTTGGACATCTTTGCCCCAAATGTAACTTTTAACAGAAACAAAAGCCTCCTAAAATATATTTTTGCACTAACATGAATTGGATTGGGGTTAAAAATGTTTTTTCCTCATTCTACATTAGGGCAAGGTGTAGACTCCTTGGACTCCCAGCTGCAATGCTTGAAAACTACCCAGTTTGATCAATTTTGTACATCTTGAAGTGAAACGAAGAGCCTTTCTTGTGCTCTTGTGTGAGGCTGTCTTCAGCCTTGTAGGTGGATTGGCTGTGAGCCCTGAAGCTTTGTGTAGCTCCACTGATAATCCTGGTCCAGTATCTGGGAAAGTCAAAGCAATGAAGGACTCCCTAAGGGCTCTTAGTGACTTTTTTCTTTTCTTTTCTTTTCTTTTTTAAGAAGGAAGGGGCTTTATTTGATTTGCAGTTTGTATGGTTCCAGTCCATAATCAGCTTGCTCCAAGGCAAGGGATGACAAACAGGCATGGCAGAGCAGGAACCTGGTCCAGTATCTGGGAAAGTCAAAGAAATGAAGGACACCTAAGGGCTCTTACTGACTTTTTTCTTTCTTTCTTTTTTTTAAAGAAGGAAGGGGCTTTATTTGATTTGCAGTTTGTACAGGTTTCAGTCCATAATCAGCTTGCTCCAAGGCAGGGATGACGAACAGGCATGGCAGAGCAGGAACAACATGGTATGCACACACACGGCAATGGCCAGAGAGTTACCAGCATCTTTTTGCCCCTTTTATCTTATGCAGAATTCTGGGATTAGGGTGGTACCAAACTAATCACTCACATTGGTTTAGTAATCACATGCCCTTAACCCCTGCATCACACATTCCAGATTAAACTATCTCTGAAAAATTCAGCTGCATTTTGTCTCTTATTAAGAAGGTCTGGAGCATGGAATTAACAAAAGTGATTGGAGATCTCAAAGCAGAGGGAAAGGAGATGTTCGGTTTGATTAGATTCAGATAGTTCAGCAGAAATCTGCTGTTACTGGTCCTGATGACTCCTGCAATGATAAACCTCAGCTTGAAGTTATCTAGCTGTGCTTGAGTTTTGGGAACTGGGAGCACAGAAGGTAGAGGGTGATGTATCTAATTCAGAACATCAAGCAATGAGGCCCTGGCTCTTAACAATGTAGGTTCTTCAAAACATGCTTTCTGTCCAGTTTAGAAGTCTCCTTTGGAATCTTAGGTGATTCTGTTGTGTTTTGGATGGCAGTCAGTAATGAGTTAGGTTTTGTGTATGGCCAAGTCATGGGATGCCAAAGATAAATGATCATCTCTACAGTGGGGTGATTAGGTAATGGGGTTTCAGGCCTAGGCAATCCCTGGTGAACCTGGGCAATCTCTTAAAGCCCTGTGTTCCTCACTTTGCTCGTCAAAAAAAAGGGAGGGAGGAATATAGTTGAGCACTGTAAAAGTCATCAGAGTGAGGTACTTTGAAAAGTGACTATAAAAGGAAAAAATAATTGCTTTTAAGTTCTTAAACTAATATTATTTTATCTCAGAGCTTACTGAGTAGCTATGAAAGAGCTAGCTGTTGTCTTTAGCAAATATCTGATATGATTTTCTTCATAAATATTATTTTCTGCAGAAGCTATGAGTGAGCAGGGCTGAAGTCTTTTCTTCTCCGGTTCACATGTCTAGATTTCCAGTCATCACAGTATGTTAAGTTAATGCTTCAAGAAGTTCCTCTTCTAGTACACCACTGATAGTCTCTTCATTCTTGTGAATTTTGTAATCTGAATGTTAGCTCAGGTGTATAGTCAAACTAGGGTCTAGGGCTGAATTCTGCCACTTTCTGGCTGGGCCTGGTAAAGTTTGGTGAATGAACCAGAGGAGTTTACAAAATTAATTGTGGCTTGTAAAATGGAAAACTCTATAGCAACATAAGGAAATGGGGAGAGATAAGAAAGTAAAGATAGGAAGGGACCCTTGGCAGCATGCACAGAATTGATGAGTGACATCAAGGAAACTGGCACAGCCATGATTCTGGACCAGTAGGAAGTGGCCATGTCACAAAAGTCCAAGAGACTGTCCCACATTGTTGACCTTTTCCTTGAGGGCAGTAGGACCTCTAAAGGGCTTCAACCAGGAGAATGGTGTGATTGGAGTCACCAGCATCTTGGAGTTGGGTCTAAAAGGACATGAGCAGAAGCAAGGAGTTAGATTTAGCGACTTTTTCAACAGACTCCAGACAACAGATGCTGAAGGTTGGACTCAAGGCTTTGAGAGTCAGCAGGGGGAAAGGAAATTGCTGCAGAAGTTTTTGAGAGATCAGATCAAAAGGACAAGGTGCTGAGAAGTGGGTGTTGTCATGAAGCTACAGCTAAGCATGTTTAGGTGATGTGTACTCAACTGTACACACTTGGGTCAAGGAAAAAGAATCTAAGAGCAGTTCTGTGGGGAGGAGGAAAACCAGCCTCTGTCTAGTTTTGACATCCTACCAAAACCAAATGTTATACACAAAGTACCAGGCAGGGTTGTACCACACAACGTAATGTATTTTGTGACTTGCATGATTTTCAAGGGTAATTATGGTTATGGGCAATAATTGCCCAAAATGCTGATTTCTGATGCCAGGACCTGCATGAGAGCTTGTGCTGCCATCCTTCATGTGGTGCAGCTTCTGTCCAGGGCTTCTCCTGTTTTTGCCCTTTGCTTAGCCTGACTTTGACTTGTAAGACACAATATGGCCCCTTCTTACCAGCTATCCCTAAAGCAGTTATCAGAGGCCTGTCTGAAAAAGAGAAGCTAGGGGCGGAAAGCAAACATCTAAGAATTTCAACCTGTACTTGTTCAGGTGCCTGAATAGCTTGAGTGGGGCCTGACTTTGTAATACAAATGAACGTATCACTGCCCTTCATTTGTCAAATAAGGTTGTCAGACAAAGATTATGAAGGCCATGGAAGTCTGTGATTCTAGGGTGTGATTCTAAGTACATGCTTTTTCTTTTAGAAAACAAATCTGGGTGAATTTCACCAAATTGAACTATGCATGACCTATTTTTCTTTTATTTAACATGTTTTTCCCATATAAGTTCTACATGAATACAGCAGCACATTCTGTCAGTGTCATGTCATTTTCTCTTTTATTATTCAACTCTCTCACTTGCCATGTGGATAAGGAACATTTTAAAGGGTTTCAAATCCAGCTAGGACTAAAATTTGTTCTGGGTATAGAATCGTCAGGGAGTAGGAGTCGGTGGGCTTTGTCGGGGAGTCCTGATCTGTAGGGGAAGCAAGGCCAAAGCTCTGCCCAGTGTCTTACAACTTATTTCCTTACCTCCCACAGCATGTGCAGAGGACTTTTTCTATACATCACAGGGAGGAGACACATCCATCGAGGGTATCAGTGATGCAGAGGATTTTGAGAAGACTCGACAAGCCTTTACACTCCTTGGTAAGGAGCTTCTGAATGAGAGGAACAGGCCCAGAGGTCTGATCCTATGGAGGGGAAGAAGAAAAACGATGTCCCACATAGCTTGCCAGCCTGCATGAGCTCATGGGGACGCCCTCTTGCCCTTGGTGAACCTCCTCCTATTCTTATCCACCCAAGACCTCAAGTTCCAAAGCTTAGAATTTGGAACTTTAGTTGGCCTTTTTAAAAATAAAGGCACGGGAGCTGGGTGTGGTGGTGCATGCCTGTAATCCCAGCACTCCGGAGGCTGAGGCAGGAGGGTCACTGTGAGTTCGAGACCAGCCTGGGCTACATAGTGAGTTCCAAGTCAGTCTCAACTACGTAGTGAGACCCTGTCTCAAAAACAAAAAACAAAAAAATGAACAAAAATAAAGGCACGGATGGGCTGGGGATTTAGCTCATTGGTTCCGGTACTTGCTTTGCAAGTGCAAGGACCTGAGTTCTATCCCCGGTACCAAAAAAACAAAAACAACAACAAAAATAAAGGCACGGTGAAGTTTTCCTTTTCACTTTCTCCAGCATTGAAACTGATAGAGCGTGGCTTTGGTGCTGTGGTCGGGTTCAGGGACAGTGTGCTCTGGCAGGAAGAGCACTGCACTGGGGCCTGGCCACCCCGCACCAAGTTGGGAGCACTGTAAGCATCAGTAGCTCTGTCACACAGGCACTGTAATCATGTCAGCTGTTTCCATGTCTAGCTTAGAGTGGGGCAAGAAGTTCTCTGCCAGAAGTAGAAGGTGACAGTAGAGCTGAAGGAAACTGCCTGTCTTCTCTGCCAGGTTTTCTGGGGAGGACCCCTTTCTTACTTGGGAGATGGAAGAGTTCAGTTTCAAGGACCTGCAGCCAGAAAAAATGAAAGCTTGAGAAGTCAGCATGAAACCCAGACAGTGTCTCAGAACACACCTGGGTTTTTCTGACTCCCTCCCTCCCTGACAGCGGCAGAGCACTGGTTTCTGAGCCATGTGATTAACTCAGGACAGCATGTTAAGTCTGTAGTGGGAGTCAGGGAAGTTTTATCCAGTGGCCAAGTAGGACACACCCTAGTCTCTGTGTGGGGAGGAAGCTGAAATCCTCTATGGGTTCTTTCTCTGGGTAACATAATAGGATTGTCGTTTGTACCCATGAACTGTCAGAAGGTAGAAATCACACTGCTATTTCAATAGGAAAAAAATTAATATAAATAATTCTTGACCAAAGTAGCAGTGGATGATTAACTATGAAAAGGGAGACCAAGGTAGAAGGATCTTAGTTTCAAGCCCAGCTTGGGAAACCCAGCAATTTGGAGACTCTGATCCCAAATTTTATTTTATTTTGTTTTGTTTTGTTTTTTGGTATGGGGGATCGAACTCAGGTCCTTGTGCTTGTGAGGTGTAGGTGGCAGAATCACTGAGCTAAATCCCCGGCCCTGATCCCAAATTTTAAAAGAGCCAGAGATGTAGCTCAATGCAAAGGCTATGGATTCAATCCACAGTTTCACACACACACGCAAAGGACTTTCAGGGTCCAAAAGTAGTGCAAAGGAAGCTGCTATCACCAGAATCCAGTACAGGAAGTATTGAGTAGAAGAGTTCTTTGCTCTTGGCTGCACTTGAGACCATGCCTAAGAGGATGTGGTAAAGAAACTTGCCAGAGAGTAGGGGCCAGTACTGACATACACAAGCAGTCTGTGCTTGCTGTAGAGTATAGCAGGGCAGAATGACTGAAGAGCAGTAGCTGATGAGAAGAAGCCACTGGTGGGCACAGCGAGAGCTCCTCTGCACAGCAAGAGCTTATCAAGGAAGTTGTGGGCACCCAGATGAATGATCATTATAACTAGAGTGGACTGGAACCAGGAAAGAAAATGCCTCCCTGCTGCTGTTTCCTTGCACGTCACTATTGTGTCCTTGGTTTAGCAAGCACCAGCAAACACAGAAGGATGGGGGACTTGCCCCAGGACCACCAATCAGGACAAGGAGGGGTAGATGTGTCAATAAGAGGTAATGAATTGAGAAAGTGCACCCTGACTTCCCTAGCATCATTGTGTGCCAATCTTACTCTCAAGGTGGAGGTTTGGAGGGCACTTGGGTATATTTTGTCAGCTTGCCAGAGACAGGAGGCTTCTGGCCATGGACTCTGTAATGCAGGGCAAGAAGTAGTAGGCAGATGGTGATATGGTCCCTCTGAGGCTCAGAGATGGATACTTTAATTCTCAAGGCAGATCACATTTGTAAAATTAAGTATTTTAAGAAGGTTGTCATCTTCTCAACTCCTTCACAAATATGTCCTTTTCTCATCTAAATTTCAGGGGCTAGCAAAGTTGTTCTTAAAAGACAAGATAGTAGATATGGCACATGGCTCACAAAGCCTAAAATGTGATTTCTCTGCACCCACCCAGATCTGCTATGGTAGCACAAAAGTAGCCATGGACAAAACATAAACCAGCAGGCATGACCATATCCTGATTGAAGTTTAGTTATGTACTTGGGTGGCTGAAGCTAGAAGATCACAAGTTCAAGGCTAGTTTGGGCTACCTGGTAAGTTCAAGGTTCACCTGGACTGCACAGGGAGAACCTGTCTCAAGCAACAACAAAATCTTACAAAAAAGTAATTGGACCATAGATTGCTGGCTTCTCTTTCACTCGTTAAGTTTTATTCCTTGATTTTTGTTTAGTTTTTGTCTTCCCATAGTGAGATACTGCTTCTTCAGAGAATCCCATAGTAATGTGGTATTTTTAAACAGTGTTCATTGTTCTTTGTTCATACTTTAGTTATCCACTTTGCAGAATATCTGGAGAAAATTTTGTTTCCAAGATGACACGTTGTGCCTCCCTTTGACACAGGTGTTACTTTTTTTTTTTTTTTTTTTTT